TGTGTTCTGTTCAGATGAACTGAGATAAATTCAAAGTCTACCACTTATTGGATATTGACAATATACTCTCCTTAGGCAAGCAGCATTGTTATCAGTAGTTGTATTATGTGACAGGCAGAGATTCAGACTACACCCCAGATCTACTGAATCAGAGCCTGCATTTAAAAAAAAATCTCCAGGTCTTTATTGTACTGATCAAAATTATGTGATACTTTCTAAATCTCTATGTTTCCCTATGTGAGAAATATGCACAATTTACTGATATGATGTAAATATAACACCCATAAATTTATATTACTGTACTGAGGCCTTTAATTTTGTATTAAATACTTTATCCTCTAAAGCAGAATCATATGCACACAGTTTCATACATCTTTTCTGATCCTCATTCCTGTGAATAAGAGAATATGTTCAAGAATATCAATATGCTCAAAAATATCACATTGGATAATTCTAGTCACTCATATGTCAGAAAAAGTTCTCATAACTTATTTTCCTTGTAGTCAAATGAATAACTCTCTCTATGGCCACTTGGGAAATATGTGTCTTTTTATAGGAGATGGTGACATTTCTGGATGTGGCTGTAGAATTCTCTCCAGAAGAGTGGGCATGCCTTGACAATGCTCAGAGGAATTTGTATAGGGATGTGATGTTGGAGAACTATGGAAACCTGGTCTCACTTGGTGAGGATCACTTATGTACAGAATTCCTATTCCACATTAAGGCCATTAGTATATTTTGTATATAGTTCCTTAAAAGTATCTACTTTACATGAATGAATTTTATATCCATGCTTTTACAGAAAATTTGAAGATTGTTGTTGTGTAAAATAAAATCATTAGATGTCTCATGTTATGTTGAACCTTACCCTTTCTTGGAGTGATATGTATATTTCACACTAGATTAGTAGTTACACTAGAAATCAGGGTATATAATTGTTGCCTGCACCTTAGAATAGAATTTCCACCTTTTATTTATTTAGTGCTAGTGGGAATTGGTGCTCTAGTCATAAAGTAGAAATAATTTTTTATCATTCTACAGGGTCTGTGAGAAAACAATATGTTGCAAAGGAATTTTATAGAATTTCTGTAATGTTGTGTTTACTAAGGATAGTACTGCATTAGTAATTGGAAAGTCTTCAGTAAGAGTCATGTAAAATTTTTCTAATGAAACAGGTCTTGCTGTCTCAAAGCCAGAGCTGATTGCATGTCTGGAGCAAAGGATAGAGCCCTGGATTATGAAGAAAGAGGAAACAACAGTTAAATATCCAGGTAGGGTGAGATTCAGTGAAGCACATAACAAATGTTAGAGAGGTATATCTCAAAGAGGAAGGCAGATATTAAAAAGTGGCTTGGAATATTCTGTTCAGTTGGAAATGATTTTTAGAAGCCTGTGTAAGGTGCTCTTTATCTTCCAGAAGGACATCTTTTGTCCCAGGCTCTTTAACTCTCTAAGAATTCTACCCATGAAGTGATCATCTTTAGAAGTCAGTGAGAGCCATACTTCTTGTGATAGCTTATAAGGGACTACATTATCTATTAGCATTGCTAATAGATGGGACTATCTGTGCAGGAGGAGTTTATGAGTTATGGGACTATCTGTGCATATTTTGAAGACCACTACATTAAACCATCTTTTGACAGGGTTTTGCTCTCCTGCCATTTCTTGAGTACAGTGGCTGATCATAGCTCACTGCAAACTCAAACATCTGGGCTCCAGGCATCCTAATACCTCAGTCTTCCAAGTAGCTGGAACTATGGGCATGAATTACCATGGCCAGCCTTTATATTTCATTATTATTATTATCTGGTAAAAATGGAATCTCCTTATGTTGCTAGGGCTGGTATAAAATCCTGGCCTCAAGTGATCCTTCTTGCTTGGCCTCCAAAAGTGCTGGGATTATACGTGTGATCCTCCATGCCCAGCTCCCTGTTTTAAGTTCCTTTTGATGCGTCATTTCTGAAATGTGTAAAGGGGAACAGTGGAGATATTTGGATTTGTTTCTGTAATACCAGAAACCCTAGGGAAAGATAGTCATATTTTCTGCATCATGATTTCCAATTCTAAGTTTTCAGAGGCAAGTCTACAGAAAGTGAGGCTCACTAACTTTGTACAAATGCATAGCCTCTGCCTAAATGTAAGAAAATCTAATGTTATTTCACTTCTAAGTAATCTTTTTCTAGTATAAATAAGAGTAAATTTTCAACTTTATTATAGCCAAATACCAAAACTATAATATACTATATTTTGCACTCTCACCCTATAGAATTCCAAAATAATCTGTCTCATTCAGTGCTTCACATACATGAATATATTTATATTCCCAATTGATTCACAATATTTTGATAACTTATATTCCATAATTTCCCCCTGTTTAGTAGCATCAGAATTGTGCCATTCATATGTGTGTATGTGTGCATATATTTCTGCGTATGGGGTGTTTAATGGGTGGAAGTTTCCACAAATAAGAATTGTATCACTGTATATATTTATTGTACACACTGTAGTGATCAGATGTGTGTATAAATAGTAAAACAATATAATAAAGGGCATAAACTATTCCATCATCTCACATATTTACCATTTAATTATACTGAGAAAATTTATTAATAGAGAGGTCTATGGTCTTAACAAATTTTAAGCATATAAAACATTATTAATAACCCTAATCAAGTTGCCATACAATAGATCTCCAAGATCTATTCATCTTATAACTAAAAGATTTTAACTTAAACATCTCCTCATTTTTCCTGACTCTACACCCTGGAAACCACTGTTGTACTCTTGTTTTTTGTAAATTCAACTTTTAAAACTTATTATCCATAGCAATATTTATCTTTCTGGGAATGGCATAATGCCTACTACATCCATCCATGTTGTTGAAATGGCAGGATATTTATCATTTTCATGCCTTAGTAATAGTATGTGGTATGTGTTTGTACAATCATTTTTTAGTCTATTCATCATAAGCAGGCATTTAGTTTGTTTCCATTTTCTTGGCAAATGTGCATAATGCTGTGATATATATGGAGGTGCAGAATCTTCTTAAGATACTGATTTTTCATGGTTATACTCATAGGTAGAAACGGTGAATTACAAGGCAGTTGTATTATTTACATTTTTTAACAAATCTCTATGGTGACACTGTCCATTTACAATCAATAACAGTGTACAGGGATTGCTTTCTTGCACACTCTTGTCCACACTTTTTATGTCTCTTCTTTTGGACATTAGCCATTTTAACAGTTGTGAGCTGATACCTTATCATAGATTTCATTTGTGTTTACATGATGTTTTGGTGATGCTGAGTTAGTCTTCGTGTTTCCTGTTGTATACTGGTATGTTTTCTTTGAAAAAAATCTACATAAACTTTTGCTTATTTTGAAGTGGGTGATGACATTGTTTTGCATTTGGGGTGTTAACATATTATGCAATATAAAATTTGAAAATATATTCTTCTGTCCTATAAGTTTTCTTATTTTGTTTTTTTCCTTGCTGTGCAGAGGTTGGACAAGCTGTTTGAAGATATAATAGAGGAAAATTTCCCAGGCCTTGCTCAAAATCTTGATATACAAGTTCAAGAAGCTCAGAGGACCCCTGGGAGATTCAACGCAAACAGGAAGACGTCACGACATGCAGTCATCAGACTGACCAAAGTATCAACTAAAGAGGCCCTTCTAAGAGCTGTAAGACAAAAGAAGCAAGTAACATACAAGGGAAAGCCAATTCGAATAACATCA